CCTGAGCCCTCCAAACTGTTCCAACCCCTGCCTGCTAGCTAGTTCCAAAGTTGCTTCCACATTTTTGGGTATTGACAGCAGCACCCTACTCCTGGTACCAATTTACTGTATTAGTCCATTTTCACGCAGCTAATAAAGACATACCCAAGACTGGACAGTTTACAAAAGAAAGAGGTTTAACGGACGTTCCACATGGCTGGGGAGGCCTCACAATCATGGTGGAAGGCAAGGAGGAGCAAGTCATATCTTATGTGGATGGCGGCAGGCAAAGAGAGAGAGCTTGTGCAGGGAAATCCTCTTTTTAAAAACCATCAGATCTTGTGAGACTTATTCACTATCACAAGAACAGCATGGGAAAGACCTGCCCCCATGATTCAACTACCTCCCACTGGGTACCTCCCACAACACATGGGAATTCAAGAGAAGATGTGGGTGGGGACACAGTCAAACCATATCAGCATTTAACCAAGGAAGTTATGAACTTATCTCTACATAAAAACCTGTACACAGATGTTTATAGCACCTTTATTCATAACTGCCAAAACCTGGAAGCAACCAAGATGTCCTTAAGTAGGTGAATGAATTAACATATTGTGGTATATTCAGACAATGGAATATTATTTGGTGCTAACAAGAAATGAACTATCAATCCCTTAAAGATATAAAGGAAACATACATGCAAATAATTAAGTGAAAGAAGCCATCTGAAAGGCTACATACTGCAGGATTCCAACTGTATGACATTCTGGAATAGGCAAAGCTATGACAATAGTAAAAAGATCAGTGGTTGCTAGAGGATGGGGGAGGAAAGGAAAGGCAGAGCGTGCATACAGAATCTTTAGGGCAGTGAAAATACTCTATATCATGTGGATACATGTCACTATGTATTTGTCCAAACCTACAGAGGGAACACAAATGTAAACTATGGACTTTGGGTGATTATGATGTGCCAACACAGGTTTATCAACTGTACCAAATGTGCCCTCTGCTGAGGGATGTTGATAATGGGGAAGGCTGTGCATCTGTGGGCACAGGAGGTATACAGGAAATCTCTGTACCTTCTTAATTTTGCTGTAAGCCTAAAACTGCTCTAAAAAATTAGTCTTAAAAACAAACAAAAAAGACTCATGAGTATTCAAAAGAATTAGAAGCAGGGTCTCAAAGAAATATATGCCTACTCATGTTCACAGTAGCATTATTCATGATAGCTAAAATGTGGAAGCAATGCAAGTGTCCATCGACAGATTAATAGATAAATAAAAAGTGGTATATACATATAATGAAGTATTACTCAACCTTAAAAAGGAAGAAAATTCTGACCCGTGCTACAACATAAACCACGATGACATTATGCTAAGTGAAATAAGCCAGTCACAAAATGAGAGATATTGTATAATTCTACTTATATGAGGTACCTAGGTAGTTAAACTCATACAGAAAGTAAGTAGCATAATGGTTGCCAAAGGCTAGAGGGAGGGGAGAATTAGTAGTTAACTGTTTAATGGGTATAGAGCAAGGGTATCCAATATTTTGGCTTCCCTGGGCCACACTGAAGAATTGTCTTGAGCCACACATACAATATACTAACACTAACGATAGCTGATGAGCTTAAAAAAAAAAAAAAAAGGCAAAAAAATCTCATAGTTTTAAGAAACTTCACAAAGTTGTATTGGGCTGCATTCAAAGCTGTCCTGGGCCACATGCAGCCCACAGGTTGGACAGGCTTGGTACAGGGTTTTGATTGTGCAAAATGAAAAGAGTTATGCAGATGGACAGTGGTGATAGTTGCACAATGTGAATATACCACTGAAATGTGCATCTGAAAAATATTAAAATAGTAGATATAATGTATTTTACCAAAATAGAAAAATTTAAAAAAAAATTCACTTTCTTAATCTTGTCTGTCAGAAAAAGAATATGTACTAGCATTGGCTTGTATGTGCCTATAAGCCTTCTGGAGCAACATAATACATAAGAAACTAACCCAGGCTGTTAGGGGGCGTAGAAGCTGGGCACATGGGAAAAAGATGGGAGCATGACTTCACTGTATACTCCTCTCTAGGTTCTGAACTTGTAAATAAATGATCTATTCAAAAATCTTAAACAAATGAAACACTCCCCTGGATGCCACACTCCTATCAAGCTACCACCTCTACTGCTCTGTCCTTCTTTGTAACATACTTCCTGGTATGGTCTATTTCTTCAGCTCCCATTCATTTCAATCTACCACAATCTAGTGTCCAAACCCTTGGGCCATGAAAAGTGCTGGTTCTTTTCCAGCTAATCAATCACTCCCACTCTGCCAAATCCAATATGCACTTCTATGAGTTCATCTTGTAAGAATTCCACACGCTTGACTCTTCCCTCCTGGAAACCCAACTCCTCTGTGCTGTGCTGCCACCTTCTCCTGGTCTTTTCCCTCTCCACCAGCTGTCATGGCTCCTCCCTCTGCCAGACCTCTGAACATGGCAGGACCTAGAGCTCAGATGTTGGCCCTCTTCTCTTTGCCCCCTGCTTTAGATGTCACCTCCAGGCTTCAATCTCCCAAATGTGCATCTCTCGCTTGATCTACTCACTGAGGTCTAGAACTGCCTACAGACCATTGCAGACTTACCCAAACAGAACACCGTGACCCATCCTCATGCCTGTTCCTCCCGAGTCTTCCCATCTCAGTACATGGTACCACTGTCAACTCAGCTGCTTAATTCAAACCCAACAAGGCAGCTTCCATTTCGCTACTTCTCTCATCCCCCATATCCAACCAAAGCACCAAGTCCTACCAGCTCATCTTATAAAACTGTCCTAAACCTGCCACTTCTTTTCACCTTTATTACCAATACCCCTGTCCAAGCCCCTATGTGAGTTTGCCTTGACTACTGCAGCAACATCCTAATTGCTGGTCCTGTTGCTTCCATTTCTGACCTTCTATAATTCATCCTCCTCCCAGAAGCAAAATCATTCTGTTAAATGTCCTGTCAGTCCCCTGGTGGTGGTGGTGGGGTCTGTAAGAAGCTTTGAATGGCCTTCTAATACTTTTACAAGATCTAAATTTGCCTGTGGCCTGTAAGACCCTGCATGTTCTGGCTCTGAAATCTCAATTTATATCACAGTCTTGCTTCCCTACTTGCTAGGCCCCAACCATAATGACCTTTCTCAGTTCCCAGCACTTTCTTACCTCATAGCCTTTGCACCTACTGTTTCCACTGCCTCCTCTCCCCCGATCCAGCTCCATCTCATCCTTCCTGTTTTAGCATACATATTACCCCTCAAACAGAACATCTCCAAATGCCTCCTCTAAAATGCTTCCTCTGCCTCTACCCACCCACTCCACCACACTGCCTACCTTACTGCTACCAGAGCACTCATCACCATCAGCAGTCATCTTATTTATATTTATGACCTGTCTCCCCAGTTAGTATCTACCCTACTTGAGAGTAAGACTTGAGTCTACCTTACTGACATTGCAGGTGCTATGCTCGCCACAGTGCCTATCTCAGGAACAGGCTCTCAGCTCAAATTTGTTCAGTCAGTCAATAAGGATTAACTAATGAATAAACCAATGACCTTCCAAAGCACTGGCCGGGCTTATGCAGGTCAGCCAGAGGCCCTAATCCAAGCAGGACTAAGGTGGTTTGCACTGGATTTGCACTGGTTTGCACATGTTTCTCCATCATTGTAAAATAATAACACATTGCTTTGGAAAAATACAAAGAAACTTGAAGTATTCAAACAATATCCTTGAGCCAACAACACACCTCAACATTTCAAGGCACATACACACGTGCATGCATACACACACACACATACACAATTTTTGGAGGCGAAGGAGGAAAAAATGGGGAACAAAAACATACATTTGGTGAGCCTCATACAATTTTTTTTTTTTTTTTTGAGACAAGAGTTTCACTCTTGTTGCCCAGGCTAGAGGGTAATGGTGTGATCTCAGCTCACTGCAACCTCCATCTCCCGGGTTCAAGCGATTCTCCTGCCTCAGCCTCCCAAGTAGCTGGGATTACAGGTGCATGCCAACATGCCCAGCAAATTTTTGTATTTTTAGTAGAGACAGGGTTTCACTATATGGGCCAGGCTGGTCTCGAACTCCTGACCTCATGTGATCCACCTGCCTCAGCCTCCCAAAGTGCTGGGATTACAGGCGTGAGCCACCATGCCCAGTCTCTTTGCTTTTTTTAGAGATGGGGTCTCACTCTGTCACCCAAGCTGGAGTGCAATGGTGTGAGTATAGCTCACTGCAGCCTCAAACTCCTGGGCAATCAAGCCATCTGCCTGCCTCGGCCTCACAAAGCTCTGGGATTACAGGAGTGAGCCACAGTGCCCAGCCTCATAAAATTTTTAATGCAAGGCACATCGTTCACTCCAGTCGATAATTCCCCAAAATATTTTGGCTAAAGGCTATATGCAGTGGCTCACGTCTGTAATCCGAGCATTCTGGGAGGCCAAGGCGGACGGATCACTTGAGGCCAGGAGTTCGAGACCAGCCTGGTCAACATGGTGAAACCTCATCTCTATAAAAATTAGCCAGGCATGGTGGTCCATGCCTATAATCCCAGCTACTCGGGAGGCTGAGGCAGGAGAATTGCTTGAACTCAGGAGGTAGAAGGTACAGTAAGCCAAGACTGCACCACTGCACTCCAGTCTGGGCAATGAAGGAAGACCCTGTCTCCAGGAAAAAAAAAAAAAAATTTTTTTTTTTTTTTGGCTAAAATCAAAGGAGTCCCAAGGTAGGCCTAGATTACAACAGAGTGAACCTAGTAGTGTTCAGAAAAGGTTAGATTATCCGCCAAAGAAATAAAATGAAAGTTTCAAAATTTAAAACACAGGAATGTAAACAGTCCCAGTAAATAAAAAGAAGCCCCTAAAATTCCTTCTATTCTGCCAGAGCAGAGTAAGACCAACAAGGTCATATACCCAGCACACACGCTCTAGCTGTTCCTTTCCTCCTAATTCCTAGTCATCCTCTTAACGCAGCTAGCAGGCCTTACCATTGCATTGAGCTGGGAGTTGCTGGCCTGTGTAATGCCAAGAATGTTGGTGGTGTGCATCACTTCAACCGAAAAACTTGGCAGCCAGCTCGCAATCCGAGACCCTGAAACAAACAAGAATCCAGAATAAGTTTCAGAGCCCTGACTCCTTCCCCCATCATCTGCTCTCACAGCAGCCGCTGTAATGGCTGGTGTTCACTGAGGGCTTCCTATATGGCAGGCCTCTCATGCCAAGTGTTCCACGTGGACTAGCTCATTTAATCCTCACTACATCCCACATGGTACCTCCTATTATCATTCTCCTAGTATCCTTCTCAAAGATACAGCACTAATACCCTTGGTCTTTGGTCTCTGAGGCACTCAGAAGTTAGGGGACTTGTCCAAGATCACACAGTTTAACTATGATGGCCAAGATGTGAAGCCAGACAGGCAAGCCCTAGAACCCTTCACTGCTGAGCAATCCTGCTTTCCAGGGGGGCTGGATGCAGCCCAACCCAGCACCCTCACGCGCTCAGCCTGGGAGATGAAGAAGCTTTTCAAGGCTCTAAGCTTCTATAACACATGAGCTTTGGCTCCTCTCTTTCACGAGCTACACAAATGACTATTCATTTGGAGGCATTTTCACATTTACTTTCAGGAAGTATTTTTTCTTTAATCTTAAAAGCCTTGGTTTTCTGATTCAAAATTCTTTTTAAATCATGCTATTCTACAACACAGGCTTGTAGACTAACAGCACCAAAAAGTCTGCTACTTCTGTTATTTCCCGAAGAAAACAGGAGCCCAAGATACAACAGCACCAAGAATAGGCTGTAAAACAACCCAATATCAAGCTACACGTTTAAGGCTGCTTTTCATTCCTTCACAAAGAAACTCTGATGCATGGAACAGAAAATCAAGTGTGGCCAGGCGCAATGGCTCACACCTGTAATCCCAACACTTGTGGGAGGCTAAGGCAGACAGATCACAAGGTCAGGAGATCGAGACCATCCTGGCCAGAACGGTGAAACCCCGTCTCTACTAAAAATACAAAAATTAGCCAGGCATGGTGGCACGTGCCTGTAATCCCAGCTACTTGGGTGGCTGAGGCAGGAGAATCGCTTGAACCAGGGAATCGGAGGTTGCAGTGAGCTGAGATCACACCACTGCAGTCCAGCCTGGAGACAGGGTAAGACTCCGTCTCAAAAAAAAAAAAAAAAAGAAAGAAAATCAAGTGGAATGGCCATCTCAAAGGTCTTGAGATGGGTACAAACAAAATGTACCCATTTAAGAAATGGATACTTATTTCATGTACTAACTAGGGAGAAATAAAGTTGAGTTTATCTATTTTGACTAAAGTTTTAGTAGTCATAATTCATAAAATAATGGATTGGATAGCCAGGTCTCATCTCCAATATTGCTAGTATATTTCAGAAGTTTTACCTGGAAGAGCCCTTCATTCACAGCCACCAAACCAGGCCCCCTAAACCCCTCTAACATTCTGGGCGCAGCCAGCCAAGTAGCCCCACCTACTCTTTTGGAAGATATGACTCTACTCCCCCTGGTCCTTTCTTTGAAGGATTTCACCAACATGACACCATCCCCACTGTACCCCATTCTTGAAACTCAAATTGGGGATGTGAATAGCACTACTGCTAACAAAATTCCAGGGACACTTGTGTTACAGTAACAATTATAAACATGAACTCACAGAATTTAGCAGTACTGGACTGTTGAAAATCAAGAGCAGCTTAATGTGAATTAAGGAAGGATGATCAACCAGACCCTGATATGTCACAGCCTTAGAATTTTAAGTGTGGTTTTCATTACAACTCCTTTTAACACTGCTGGGAGGCAGAACATTTATATTTTATGGACAAAGCAACAGGGTTCCAGCTCTGATTCTGCTTGTGGTACTCACTAGAAAGGCTTCTCAATGATCCTTCATTATATGCTTAAATGCTACACAAATGCAATACATTATTAGGAAAGGTTAACTATTGAGCTAATTAAGTGTACTCCTCGAAGGCATGGTTGATTTAGTTTTACTTCTCCACCCTCCTGCCCCACCCTGCCCATACTGACATGGAATCGGGCAAAATGCCTGGCATCCCTCTGTTTGTTCTATCTCTATCCATCTGTCTATCCATCCCTCCCACCTAAATGCTTTCAATTAAAATTGAAATACAGTCAATGCGTAGCTTAACAACAGGGACACGTTCTGATAAATGTGTTGCTAGGTGATTTCATCGTTGTGCAAACATCATAAGAGTGTATTTACATAAACCTAAATGGTATAACTTACTATACACCCAGGCTATATGATATAGTCTATTGCTCTAGGCTACAATCCTGTACAGCATGTTACTGTACTGGAGGCAGTTGTAACACAGTGCTAAGTATTTGTGTATCTAAACATATCTAATAGAAAACATGTAGTAAAAATATGGTACAAAAAAAACACAAAACACCTGCATAGGGCACTTACCAGGAATGAAGCTTGCAGGATTAAGGCTGCTCTAGGTGAGTCAGTGAGTGGTGAAATGTGAAGGCCTAGGACATTACTGTGTGCTCCTGTAGACTTTATAAACACCGTACGCTTAGGCTACACTAAATTCATGACAAAATGTTTCTTTCTTCAATAAATTAAATTTAGCTTACTATAAGTTTTTTACTTCATAAACTTAATTTTTAACTTTTTGACTCTTGTAGTAACACTTAGCTTAAAATCCAAACACCCTGTACAGCTATTAAAAATATTTTCTTTTTTATTCTGCAAGAGTTTTTCTATTTCTAAAAGTTTTAATTTTACTTTTTAAATTTTTTTGGCTAAAAACTAAGATACAAACACACACATTAGCCTAAGCCTACACAGGTCAGGAGCATCAGTATCGCTGTGGTCCACCTCCACCTCTTGTACCACTGGAAGGTCTTCAGGGGCAGCAACACGCATGCAGCTGTCATCTTCTAGAATAACAATACCTTATTCTGGAACCTCCTGAAGGACCTGCCTGAGGCTGCTTTACAGTAAATTTTTTTTCTATGTAAGTATGAGTACACTTTAAAGTAATGATAAAAATTGTAGTAAATACCAGGCCACAGGAATTTTTTAGGTCCATTATCATCTTATGGGACCATTGCCGTATATGCGGTTTGTCATGGACTGAAATGTCGTTATGGGGCACATGACTGCATAATATTAAACTGGTCTGTACAGGGCAATTTATAATTAAAATAGTATCTGCCTAGGGGAGAACATCCCTTAGGTATAGTTTTAGAGGTTGAAACCAACTAACCATCGAAATGGAAGAAGTGATTGTGTTGGTTTAAGCGAGGTCTCCCTTCGGCTGCTGCTACAGGAACCAAATTCTCATCCAAATTCTCTCCTTGATGGTCTTCCCTGACACGATTATTGTCAGCAATATTAAGAGACATTCTGCATGTTGGACAGGAGGTGTCTTGTTCTAGCCAGGAACGAAGACAGGAGCTACCAAAAAGTCCAAAAGAACATACGTCAGCATCCTCGATTGTTCCTTAGCATACTTTGTAAGAATTCACCCAGAAGTACTCTGGATCTGTCAAATGTGCTCCAATTTGATTTTCTCTCCACCACTAGTGAGATTTAAGTGTTAAGAAGCATTTATGGACATTACCTCTTTGCCCTACTTCATTTTAATACACTTCCAGCGTGTCCTGCTGGGAACATGAATTCTTTACCATATGAAGTCATCTACCAAGCTCCTGGTTGTGACCCCTTTTCAATGGGACTTCCTAGCATGGCTCACCATCTTCTCATCCAATTCTATTTGGCTACTTCAAAATCCATGTGGCTGAATCATCCAACACCCTGGCCTCTCGTATCCTTGAGTCCTCCACTCTGACGCTCACATCTTTCACTCTGCTTTAGCTACCACTAGCACAGTCATAGCCTTGGCCTTGTCTTCAAAATCTTGATGTCAAAAATCTCACTCATTCACTCAAGCTCCTCTCCTTCCAACTCACTTATCTGGCACCAAACTTGCTAAGACCTCCCATCTGCTTTTTCCTTAAGCATGACAGCCCTACAGGTCCTTACCTCCCCGTTCCCCTGGCTCACCTGTAACTTCTCCTCTCCATTCACCACCTCAACCTCCTCCACCCTCTTCTCTTTGCATGCTGCTTTCCCAACAAGGCTGAAGCTTCTTTTGCCCTCTCTCAGGAGATGATAATGCATTAATTATGGTAGACACTCAGTAAATACTTGAGGTGTCCATTAAAGGAAAGGATACTAGAGTAAGAAGCAGAAAATGTGAGATCAGTCCCAATTCTCCCTCTAACTAGCTGTGTGATCCAGGCAAACCCTTCAGCCTCTCTTGACTAGTCCTCTCCACTAAAGAATGAGATGGCTGGATGAATTAATCTCCAAGGTCCCTCCCATTTTATGAGAATTTGTTATCTTTCTCTAAGGGCGCAAGTAGGCACTCAATAAAAATGCTGTATCTTCTTTTAAATATCTATGAACATGTGTAGATATAAAGTTATAAAGGAAAACCTCACCATAATACGATAATCCTCAGAGTCTCCAGCAACCAAATGGTACATAAGTAACAGGAGTTTCCTAGAGGCCAAGATAGAGCTACTTCTTACTCACTCCGTGTCATGAGAGTGTGTGACAGTCGTGTTCCAAAATAATGTCATCTGTCTGTATGTATATACCCAACTCTATCATATTTTGCAATAATTAAATACCTATAATTTGTCTGTGATAATTTAGTCAAATAAGTGATTTTTTTTAAGTCCACTTCTCCTAGTGACACCCTGAAATCACACCACTAGTAGAATAACATTAGCCTTGCGGGGGATTACAAAAGTATGCAAGATCCTTGCCTTCCAATAACGCTACACTGTGACATACTTTTTATAAGCAAATCTAAATTTATTTCACAGAGTGCAAAATCCTCCCACATTAAATATAACAGCCTAAAAACTCCAAGGTGAGTACAACTAGTTAGATATAGTTTTCTGTTTTGAAAAAAATGCTAGAGTTCCTTAACTGAGAGAAATCAAACTTTAGAGAGAAAACGGATCTATTCACTGGACTCTGAAATGTTGTAAAAATATCCTCTATAGCAACAAATTATCTAGCTATTGTGTCTGCAAGAATATAGGCATTACCTTTATCACAAATTAAAATGAATTTGCCTTAGATTCTCAGCACACAATCATTCCCAAAGCTACAAAGTAAAGCCAACCAAGAGCACATCCTAACAACTATTTGTTCACTCAACCCGAGGCAGATAAGTGTTTTAAAATTAAATCCTAACTCTTAAGCAACCACTGAGTAAAGAAGAAATCACTTTGGGAAATGAGACACTTTGAGACAAATGAAAACAAAACCACAACGTATCCAAACTTATGAGATGCAGTGGAAGCAATGCTCAGAGGCCAATTTGTAGCAGAAAATGCCTAAAAAGAAGAAAGCTCTCAAGTCAAAAACCTAACTTTATGCCTATAGAACCAGAAAAATAGCAAACTAAACCCAAAGCCAACAGAGGTATCTAGAGTAATTCATAGAGACAAAATATAGAATGGTGAGTGCCAAGGGCTTCGGGAGAAACAGAGAGGGACTTTCTGTATACTGGAGACAATTTCAGTTTCATAAGATGAAAAAGTTCTGGAGATAGATGGTGATGAAGGCTATACAACAATATGACTATACTCCATGCCACCAGACCATATACTTAAAAATAGCTAACAGTACATTTTTTGTTATATTTTACCAGAATAAAAAAACTATATTTAAGAATTATTACTAAAAAACAAAACAAAATTCACCATAATGAGATAACACTTCACACCCACAAGAATGGCTATAATAACAAAAATAGAAAATGACAAGTGTCGGCAAGATGTATGAAGAAACTAGACCCCTCAGGTATTGTTGGTGGGAATATCAAGTGGTACAGCTGCTGCAGAAAACAGTTTGGCATTTCCTCAGAAGTTAAACAGAATTATCACGTGATCCAGAAATTCCACTCCTAGGCATATACCCAAAAGAAGTGGGAACAAGTCCTCAAACAGATACTTCTCACAAGCACATGTTCCTACCAGCATTATTCATAATAGTCAAAATGTGGAAACAACCCAAATGTCCACCAATGGATGAATGGATAAACTAATTGTTTAATTTATAAAATTACTTAAATTCACCCATAAAATGTAATGAAGTACTGATACATGCTACAACTTGGATGACCTCAAAAAATATTAAGCGAAAGACGTCAGTCACAAAAAGTCACGTTATATGATTCCTTTATATGAAATGTCCAGAATAGGTAAATCCATAGAGACAGAAAGTGGATTAGTGGTTGCCAGGCGATGGAGAAGGAAGGAATGAAGAGTGCTTACTTAGTGACTATGAGGCGCTATTGTGGAGTGATAAAAAGGTTTTGAAACTAGCGAGAAGGGTGGTTGCATAACATTGTGAACACATTAGCAGCCACTGAACTGTACATTTTAAAATGGTTAAATGTATATTATCTGAATTTTGCCTCAAAGAAATTAAATCATAGAATTAATCTAACATATGCTTGAAGATATTATTTCTGAGCTAAAATAGAGTTATTCTGAGTTTATTCTTCCCAACTAGCCTCCAAGCTCCTTAGGGGCTAACTGAAATAATTTTGAGAAATGTGTGCAAATTCCCTGGTCTTCCCAACCTCAACGAACGTGCACCGCTCTACACCCAACTGTCCAATCCGCACAACTAGGGAAACCCTGGCACCTCTTTCATTCCTCACTTTCCCTCAGCTGGTCTAGCACTACATCCTTCCTGATCCCCTCAAATCTGTCTTCTCACTAACTCTACTTGTACCACCAGAGTCCAAGTTACAATTTCTTTTTTTTTTTTTGAGACAGAGTTTCGTTCTTGTTGCCCAGGCTGGAGTACAATGGCGTGACCTCAGCTTACTGCAACCTCCACCTCCCAGGTTGAAGCAATTCTCCTGCCTCAGCCTCCCAAGTAGCTGGGATTACAGGCACCCGCCACCACGCCCAGCTAATTTTTTTGTATTTTTAGTAGAGGTGGGGTTTCACCATGTTGGTCAGGCTGGTTTCAAACTCCTGACCTTGGGTGATCCACCTGCCTCAGTGTCCCAAAGTGCTAGGATTACCCCTGAACCACTGCAGCCATTACTAACCAATCCCCCTGGATCTCTTCAAACAGCAAATCTTACCCGCCAATCCTTACTCAATGTTCAACAGCATCTCACCACTCCCAATGGTCCTCCAGACCCTGCCTATGTGTCTTCTGCCTCAGCGGACACCTTGTCCTTTACTCTCTGGGATCAGCCACACAGCTTCTCTTTTAGTCTCTTCCATTTCTTCCTGCTGCACAGATGCACCCTCTCTCTCAAGTACCTAGTACCACCTGATCCCTCCTTTTGTTGACTTAACTCCTACTTATCCTCAAGAGTCACTTCCTTCAAGTTTGAGTCGGATTTTTTCATTACAAGCTCTCAAGAACTATGTTCCTTTGCTTTAAAGCACTTATCTCATTGATACTTTAAAATTCATAAATATGCCTGGTTCTGATTCACGTTTGAATCCTCCGTTCGACTGTAAGCTACAGGAAAGCAATGACCACACTAGTCATTTTCATTTTATCCCCAGAGCCTAACACAGCACTCAGCACATAAAAAAAAAAAAAAAAAAAAAAAAAAAAAAAAATCTGTCAACAATGTGTTGAGTTACTGAGACTCTAGCTCCAAAGCCCTATATAAAAAAGAAGAAGAAAAACCCTTTGAGACTATAAAATAAAGAAAGGAAGATTAAAGATGCAAAGATCAGAACTTTCCCAATATGCAAAATTGAAAACACATGCAAAAGGCCAAAAGATACCTCAAGGTCCATTAACATCAAAACATCAAACTTATACACACAGTCATTTATGTGAGACAGACAGAGCCCCAGTGACATCTTAGATCTACTTCCATCTGGAAGGATTACAGAAGAGACTATTTGTAATCCTTGATAACAGACACAGCTCTTTTGTGCTGTTTAGTGGTCCTGGTCTACAACCCATCTCAATCCACTTCTCTGGTGAGATTTTAGGCTTCTTTTGGGCATATACAAAATGCAAAATTATATATTCTCTCTCTCCCAGTTAGATAATAAGCTGTCTGAAAATAAGGACTCCCCGCTAATCCTCTTTTAAATCTTACAGACATATTTGCTGTACTTCAGAGCTAAAATGGAGAAGAAATATGAAGACAGTTACCATACCCAGAAATTAAGATGGCAAACTATGGGAGGGAAACAGTCCTATGATGTAGGGAAGAGGCTAAGGAACAAAGAAGGACACCCAAGAGCTTCCCAGAACACGCAGTGCCAGCAGCAAGGCCAGGCGGAGGTAATGTCCCCACTCCTCCACTAGGATGAGTCTCAAGCCTGGGTACAAAAAGCACCCACACACCCTGGACAGAACACCCGTCCCACAGGGCCCTTCACAAAGCTCCTACTTGTGGAAAAGATGTCCGCAGGGCAGTTTCCGCGCAGCCTGCATGGAGTCCCAACAGATGGCACAGTCGTCATTGTTGACAGCCAGCTCCTCTGGAGTTGCAACTGCAAACCTGTGGAAACAAAACAAGCCCAGCAGGAACCTTGGTCAGTTCCACACACACACTAAACACCACTTGATAGACTGCACCTATATCACAGCACAGTTACAGAGAAAGCGTGTTCAGCAAAACATTCTTGATAATCAAAAATATAATTTACCTTCAAAGCCCATTAAAAAGTGAGTGAGAAACTTATGCACAGGAACTTTGTCTAAATAATGGCTGCTAGGCCGAGTGCGGTGGCTCATACCTGTAATCCTAGCACTTTGGGAGGCTGAGGCAGGAGGATCATGAGGTCAGGAGTTCAAGACCAGCCTAACCAACATGGTGAAACCCCGTCTCTACTAAAAACGCAAAAATTAGCCGGGTGTGGTGGCGGGCGTCTGTAATCCCAGCTACTCAGGAGGCTGAGGCAGGATAATCGCTTCAACCCAAGAGGCGGAGGTTGCAGTGAGCCGAGATTGCGCCACTGCATTCCAGCCTGGTGACAGTGCGAGACGACGTCTCCAAAATAGTAATAATAACAATGACTGCTTTTAGTGAAGACATCGGAGAACATATCCAGACAAATCAGAGAAGTAAGGCCCCCAGAGATCCAATCTGTGTCCCTGGCCACAAAGAAGTGATCCAGGCTGTCCCCCTGGGCACAAAGAGGATACCCATTAATCTTGCACCTCCAGGCATGGTTTAGCCTCAGCTTGGCAAAAGAGTGCCTCCTTCAATGAGGTTAAGTATGTGTGTGTAAACATGCATATGCAGAGAATAATTGAGACCCACTTTCACGAAATGAGCAGGACAGAAGCCCAATGAAGCGTCTATTTGATAATAATGACAATAAAATCATGACGAATAAGAGCCTAATACTGAGCACTACGTGCCCAGTACTATTCTAAATACACGAATTATCTCACCAAATTCTCCCAAAGGTTCAGGCAGAAGGTTCTGTTTTCATCCCTAATTTAGAGATGAAGTAAACTGCCCCAAATCACCCAGCAACTAAGCGGGGATTCACACCCGGGCAGTCTGACTCCAGAGCCTCTCCTCTCCACCACTGTTAGCAGTTTACAAACATGCATTCTGACATACTCTGGAATCTGTTGTTATTAAAAAGCTAAAATGAGTAAACTTAGGCAACATCAACTTATGTTTCCTCACCTGGCCTCCATGTTCCCAACCACACGCAGATAGTTCTTGTGCCGACGAATTCGACGCTGCACCTCATGAAACAGGTAACGAAGCTGCATAAAGATGACCAAGCTAGCCATGGATAACCAGATGTTGCCAAATAACTTAGAAAGAAAGAGAGTAAAATACACGGTAAAAGTGAACATGAACTTGCTAGTGATGAAGGCGCAGTATGCAGCAGAAGCTCTTCACTGTTGGCGATGGTGAACTGCAATATTTTTCAGAAAGGAAATACACAGATGTATCTCATTACTCTAAACAAGGCATATCCTCGTCTGCCTAGGTGCTCCACTGCCAGTCATCTTTCCTGAGAAACTCATCAGAAATGGAAAAGCTTTATGCAAAAAGATGTCTATCCATGAAATTATAAAAGAGAAAATATGAAAATGAACAAAATGTCCAGCAGAAGAACAGTTAGGTTGTAAACTTATATAATGTAAAATTATATACTCATTAATTACATTTATTTATATTATACAACTACATATTACACTATTATATTTGTATATGTAACAGTTCTGAAGGTCAATTATGGGAAGACTATATTAGATAAATAAAAAAAAGCAAGATATAACTAATTTTATCAAACTAATACATGATAAAAAATATGTAAAAATGTGAAATAGCAAACAACCGAATATAATCTAAATAACCCACTGTGAGATGTGGTTTATTAAATCATGGTACAGCTATCTGAAGACATTTTTATCCTGAAAGTATTAAAACGGCTTAGAAGAACTGATGCTAGCATAGGAAAATGTTCATAATACATTTTTAAAACTATATGTCTATATGTCTAAAATATCTCAATTTATGAAGGTATGTACTCAAATACATAAAAAGAAAACTGTTAAAAGAAGCAGTTAAACACAACAAAATCTTCAGGAAACAAGCATGAGGAAAAAAATTAAAATTTAAAAAAAGAAGACAAAAAAATCTTAAGAGTTATCTTTGGCCATTTGTCCCCTTTTTGAGGGGGGAGGGAGGCTTTTTTTTTTTTGAGATGGAGTCTCACCCTGTCGCCCAGGCTAGAGTGCACTGGTGCGATCTCGGCTCACTGCAACCTTCATCTCCCAGGTTTAAGCAATTCTCTGCCTCAGCCTCCCCAGTAGCTGGGATTATAGACGTGAGCCACCACGTCCGGCCGAGCCTCTTTTTTTAAAAAAAAGAATTACATGCTTTCTTTAAAAAGTATGTTTTCAAAGTTTCTTTCAAAAAGCAGACTTAGAAATGTGCCATGTCTAGCCCAATAATTTTTAAATGATACTTACTGGGCTTATAATTTAAATAAACTGCCCACCAACTATTTTAATTCTCACCATTACTAGATCACTGAAAGGCCAACCAATGAAGCAGATCTATGACACTGTAACTTCTAACATATCAAAGTAAAATGTAAACAATGATGGTAGTAGGAATGTAGGAATTAAGTATAAAGACTTTTTTTAATTACAAAGATGGAAAATGTATGAATCCATGAAGTAGCTAACACTGCAGGAATTCCCATTACCACCTACAAAGTAACTGCTAAATATTTAAAGCCATAGAAACTGGGGAAAGGCAGCTCCTTACTTTCATGCTAAAAGAATAATCTATTGACTTGGTCAGCAGAGTTAACTAAGTCTCCCAGGACAACAAACACCTCCTGAGTTAGGCACCAGCCAAAGCAATTCCACGGCACTGCCTTACACCCAGTGGCAAAAAGAGGGAGGGTTTGCAGCCACATTCATTTTTAGTCTTTTAAGTAGTCCATCCGCATCTTATTCCTAAAGTTTCATTTTTTAATAAAGAAACCATTACTGTTCCTGATTCTGAAAGGCTTGCCCTCTGTTAGAGCTTCTTCTGAGGAAACTTACCAACATGTGAATATGGTGCATGAGGTCCAGGGACAGGAGAGTGAGCTCCATGACGAAGTCTGTGTAATAGACGTACGTCCCCTTTCCTTCCCACGTCCCTTCGTGATTGAGGTCCCAGAGGTGAATTACGTATCTGTAATGAAGAGAGAAAACACCTTAGTAATTTACTGTTACAACTGAATTTGGTTTAATCATACTGTAATTTAGTCAGATTTTTATATATTTCATACCTGCTACATCTTAAAATCAACTGTATGAGTAGGCCTCAATCACCTCCCTCTCCAGTTTCACTCACCGTAAAATCACATGTGCAGTCCTCACTGTCACAAGAAGAGACTATAAAAAAGGATATTTTCTTTTTAGTAAAATTTAGCGTTGCTCAGACCAAACTTATTTTTATAAAATGATAAAAGACAAACATTTCTCAGTTCAATTAAAAAGCAGATTGTTCAAGTTTACCCATTATTTTATTTTCTCTGCTTCAAAGTTCCATAAAATATTTTTATGACATAGAAACTCAACTTTTATTGAGGAAAAGTCCTGTTAATAAGTGACAACCAATTACACCTATCCCCTGGGAATCCCCCTACAATCTTGAGGTTTATCCTGGTAGTTTGACCATCAATTCTATTTCACACAGCATTAAGTCACTATCACTGATTACTCAGAAGGGTGATGCTGTAACTCCAAGTATAGTTCAGGTACTGCTATCGTAGACATGAGGACCTGCTCTCTCCCTAGTGCTTTGTGCACTCCCTTTGTCCACCAGCAGAAAAAAGAATGAAAGCAAGCAAAAGCAAAATAAGGCCAGCCACATCACACCTTTAATCCCAGCACTTTGGGAGACCAAGGCAGGAGGATTGCTCAAGCTCAGGAGTTCAAAACCAGCCTGGGCAACATGGTGAAATCCCATCTCTACAAAAAAATACAAAAATTAGATGGGCATGGGGGCACGTGCCGGTAGTCCCAGTTACTTGGGAGGGTGAGGTGAGAGGATGGATTGAGCTTGGGAGGTGGAGGCTGCAGTAAGCAGAAATTGCACCACAGCACTCCAGCCTGGGTGACAGAGCCAGACCCTAGACTCTGTCAAAAGCAAAAGAAGAGAAGAGAAGAGAAGTGAAGAGAAGAGAAGAGAAGAGAAGAGAAGAGAAGAGAAGAGAAGAGAAGAGAAGAGAAGAGAAGAGAGAAGAGAGAAGAGAAGAGAGAGGGGAGAGGGGGAAGGGGAGAAGGGGAAGGGGGGAGGGGAGGGGCAGACAAAATAAGCCTCTTGTGACTTTTTTTGTTTTTTTTTTTTGTAGAGACAAGGTCTTTCTATGTTGGCTAGGCTGGTCTTGAAGGGTATTTTTTATTATAGAAATTGATGGCCAGGCACAGTGGCTAACACCTGTAATCCCAGCACTTTGGGAGGTCAAGGCAGGCCGATTGCTTGATCTCAGGAGTTCAAGACCAGCCTGGTAACACGGCAAAACCCCATCTCTACAAAAAAATCAAAAATTGGCCTGGCATGGTGGTTCATGCCTGTGGCCCCAGCTACTGGGGAGACTAAAAAGGGAGGATCACTTGAGCCCACAAGGTGGAAGTTGCAGTGAGCCGAGATCGCACCACTGCACTCCAGACTGGGCAACAGAGTGAGACCTTGTCTCAAAAAATATATATATATATTTTTCATTAAGAAAAAAGTCCTCGGCCGGGCGCGGTGGCTCAAGCCTGTAATCCCAGCACTTTGGGAGGCCGAGACGGGTGGATCACGAGGTCAGGAGATCGAGACCATCCTGGCTAACACGGTGAAACCCCGTCTCTACTAAAAATACAAAAAAAAACTAGCCGGGCGAGGTGGCGGGCGCCTGTAGTCCCAGCTACTTGGGAGGCTGAGCCAGGAGAATGGCGTGAACCCGGGAGGCGGAGCTTGCAGTGAGCTGAGATCCAGCCACTGCACTCCAGCCTGGGCGACAGAGCGAGACTCCGTCTCAAAAAAAAAAAAAAAAAAAAGAAAAAAGAAAAAAGTCCTCTTAATCTAGTAGAATAAAACTATTACATTGTTTATGTTTTAGATTAAATTCCCATTTGTAAGTGAAAAATATTTTACAGGAGAAACACTATGAATATAAGAAATTATTTAGTTTAAAATATCAAATCTGTAATATGATAAATTATCTTAAAAGAATAAACACTAACAAGCTAAAATAAAAGTATATACTATAGTATGATCTGACAGGCCTAAGTTAATTGGGTTTATTTTTAGGTATATCCTTTTCAAAGTTTGGACTAATATTAGCTGAAAGTTAGAGAACCAAAAGAAGGCAAATGTAAGTAGCATTCTAACTGTGCTTTGCAATATAATATACCTAAAGCAATAAGTCATTATAAATAGATTTTTCAACAGGTTTTGTGTCAAGATGAAATACAGTTGCATATTTTTAAAATACAGAAAGTATTCACCTAAGATTACATATCCTAGTGTTTATATTAGGACTATTGTATTTTAATTATATCGGAGCTGAGCAGAGAATGCGTAACCCGGGGCGGGCTGCAGTGAGCGAGACCGCCACTGCACTCCACCTGGCGACAGAGCAAGACTCCGTCTCAAAAAAAAAAAAAAAAAAAAAAATATGATAATTAACATTATATATTTAAATGTTCCTTTTCTAATTTTACTTACACTACTAAATGTACTCCAAAATGAATGCTGTCAAACAGAAATAAACTTTAACTCTGCTCTACCAAATTCCCAATTAGTAGTTCACATTTAGTAAGTGTTTTGACATTAGCCAATTAGCTTCAGTTTATCTAATATCTCATTTTTTAATTAACAATACTAATTATGGGTATTTTACCTTTGGACTAAGGAAAAAGCAAATACAGCCATTAAATATAAGGACATACAAAGAATTTTTGTTTTGTTTTTTTTTTGAGACGGAGTCTCGCTCTGTCACCCAGGCTGGAGTGCAGTGGCGTGATCTTGGCTCACTGCAACCTCTTCCTCCTGGGTTCAAGCAATTCTCCTGCCTCAGCTTCCCGAGCACGTGGGACTACAGACGTGCGCCACCATGCCCAACTAATTTTTTTTTTTGTATTTTTAGTAGAGATGGGATTTCACAATATTGGCCAGGCTGGAGAATTTTTATTTCTACTGAACAGAAATTGGTATTTTCAGAAAGGTTTAAAAGAGTAAAAAATTTTTAAATCTTAAAGTATTCATGAATAGACCAGATTTTTCCTTCAAAATTTACATATTCATCATTTTGTAAAATCTTTATCCCCTATGTAAAGAAAGAATTACATAAAATACCACACAAAAGCATTCAGTACCAGTACCCAGCACACAAAAAGGAACTGAAATGCTTGTTAAAATGAAAGACCAAATATCCATCTGTCATTTCCTGGGTGAAAATAACCTGTCAAACATCCAGCTTCCTTGAAAACAGACAGAAACACAATCTGAGAAAGTCCTGCGTCCAGCATCTCACCTCTGCAGCCATGAAAGCCAAGGTGTGCATTCCGTGGGTGTAGCCGGTGATGCAGCAGACGGCCGCCAGTCCACAGCAAGAAAGCAGCATGGCAACCAACAGGGACAGGACTCGACCGTGGCTGCTCATTGGCGTGGTGGGCGAGAAGGAAAGCTGAAATGCACACAGTGGGAAACTGCTCATTCTTCTTCATGGAAGTGTTAAACTTCACTGAGAAATTCAAGGTCCATCTTGGCTTCTCTACTTACGGTTCTGTGCTAAGCACAGAAAAGCATCCCACTACTATACGGTCCTATTCTACAATAACCCAAATATGAGCATGAGCTGATATTTAGAGATCCTTGTCATATAATATACTGAATATAACAATATGCATTATATTTTTATCCCTTACTCTCAAGGATCCTCCTAGCACTGGGATTATAAACCCCTAGAAGCAATGTTCTGAGGGTATACAACTCTCTCCTCTCACCTTCAACAGGACTCAGGACATGCCTGTTCTGTTGTATTTCTTTCTTAATCTTGCTCTAGTCCTCCTCTCTGAAACTGGCATTCCCAGTCTATTAGGGCTAGAACAACTGAAATGCAATCCAGGCGCAGATTTACCACTATTACAATGTGATGTCAGCACTATGCAAAGAGAGGCAACTGTCTGAAAAGAAGGCCTGGAGCTGTAACTCCTGAGGTCGCAGGCGGAGATTAAAAAAACCAGTTTGGGAGGTTAGAAGTTCCTGTTTGTGGCTTCAAATGAGGGTTGAATGTGAAAGAAATAAAGGTTTGAGAGTGAGATTAACTCACACCAAGGTGCAAGGTCCATGTGGACTGGGTAAAGACAGGGAAAAACACGGCCCTGGAGTGGGTTTAACTGAGGGGCAGCATTGTGGGTGCACATTTATCTGGGACTCATGAGACTACTTCAGGTCACTAATGGGTGGGGGTTCACCCATACAGCTATGATCTGAAACCAAGTGACAGATCTTGTACCAGACACAAAAGGATTCACTTCTGCAACCAAGGAAGCTAAGGGAACTAATTCAGTCCTGGCCCGGGGTGGAAAGAGTATAAACTAGTCAGAAAGAAGAGCTCCAGGAACCAGGGTAAGCTGGGGGAGACAGAAGGAGACTGGAACAGAAAATATCTAGAAAAGACCAGATTTTATTGTTTATGTATCAAGGTTTCCTTGCACTGTGAACAAAACAGTCTGCATAGGTGAAGTGACCCCACGTGAGCTGTAATGTAAACACTATGGGATTGGGAAGAAAGCTCACCAGGAGACTACGATTCTGCATCTCTTGGCTGCTGTAGAAAGTTCTTCAAGAAACAGGCAATGGGGGCCTGATCTAGAAGTCTTCCCAGGAGAGCCACCTTGACCATGCCTGCTGTGGCTCATTCACGTTACACAATTCAAAGCTGGCAAACGTGTGACTAAGCAAGCAAAAAGCTTGGCTAAAAACTCACATATTCAAATCGATCCTTGCAGAGCTGAACCATCAGGTGCAGAAAGACAAGTCCGGCAAACCAGAGGCACCACATGACCACCTCTTCCACTGTTTGGACATTCAGCACACCAAAGATGAAAATGAACTTGTAGAAAATAAAATTCCAAAATTTGTCTTTGAGATGCTAAAAAAGAAAAATGTTTATGAAGGTGAGTACTATCACACCTACCCCATTTGAGGGAAGTTACCATAACAAAAGCTGGTTTCTATGGAAGATGTATTCCACACTTGGCTTTCTAACACTTGTCCTCAAGAAAACAGAAGAAAAAACAAAAAGCAGCCATCTGAACAGAGGTAAGACACCCAGAAAGTAATCTATAAACTCTGGACTATAACCCTAAATCAATTATGGTATGTTAGCTATTCAAAGGATAGTGATATGAGTTTAGTAACTTATGTATTAAGAAATAGGCCCAACGCAGTGGCTCATATCTGTAATCCCAGCACTTTTGGAGGCCGAGGCAGGTGGACAGCTTGAGCTCAAGAGTTTGAGATCAGCCTGGGCAACATGGTGAAAACCCATCTCTACCAAAAAAAAACAAAAAAACAAAAATTAGCTGGGAGTGGTGGTGCATACCTGTAGTCCCAGGCCTACTCAGGAGGCTAAGGTGGGAGGATTGCTTGAGCCCAGGAGGTCAAGGCTACAGTGAGCCATCATCATGCCACTGCACTCCAGCCTGGGCGACAGAGCAAGACCATCTCTCAAAAAAAAGAAAAAAATGCTTACATTTTTAATGCACAATGAAAAAGAATGGTAAGGGCTATCATTTTTACTACTTCTACCTTCCAGATTCTCACACAATAGAAAAGATTAGACTTTTTTAAAAAAATTACTAAATTAAAAAATAACACAATCACTTGCCAGCCCATAATAAATGGGGCATAAAAAGGACAAAGAAAACAAAAAATGATGCCTTACCATTTTTATGAATTTTCCTGTCTTTTCCCTATGTGCAAGACACATTAATTTTTGCACAATGCTTTCTTTCACCTATCGTATTGTGAGAACCTTACCAATGTCAATGAATATTCTCTGAATATACCAATATACCGTTTTAATGGCTAAAGATGGACACTGAAACTGTTTTAAAATTTTCACCATTCAAAGAAACATTACAATGAGGGCCAGGCGTGGTGGCTCACACACAAAATCCCAGCGTTTTGGGAGGCCAGGGCAGGCGGATCACTTAAGCCCAGGAGTTCGAGACCAGCCTGGGTAACATGGCAAAATCCTGTCTCTACTAAAAATACAAAAATTAGCTGAGCAGTGGCACATGCCTGTAATCCCAGCTACTCAGGAGGCTGAGGCACGAGAATTGCTTGAACCTGGGAGGTGGAGGTTGCAGGGAGCCATGATCGTGCCACTGCACTCCAGCCTGGGCAACAGAGTGAGACTCTGTCTCAAAAAAAAAAAAAAAAAAAAGAAAAAATTGTGCTGAATATTTTTGTATGTATCTTTGTATGAGTTACTTCAGCACTGTCAAATCAAAAATTGCAAATGTTTTTATGGTTTATAGTAAAATCTACCTAACTTCCAAATCAGTCCTGTAAGTATATATTCTCATGGGCAGTGTGTATGCATATTTGCTTTACTGTACTCTTTTACACAGAGGGCTTCCAGTTTTAACAATCTTCACTAACCCTGAAATAGGAGAGCAATAAGGAGGGTCTAGTTCACCCCACATGTTAAAATAGACTATCAAGCCGTCTAGGGGGCTCAGGGAGAACTGAGTGAAGAGGATAATTATGGAAGCATGATTCTAAGTGCGTATATATATATGTGTGTGTATATATATATATATATATATTTTTTTTTTTTTTTTTAAAGAGACAGGGTCTCACTCTGTCATCCTGGCTGGAGTACAGTGGCCCAGTCATAGCTCACTGCAGCCCCAATCTCCTGGGCTCAAGTGATCCTCCCACCTCAGCCTCCTGAGTAGCTGGGATTACAGGCACATGACATCATGGCTAATGTTTTTTATATATATATTTTACAGAGATGGGGCCTCCCTCTGTTGCCAAGGCTGGTCTCAAACTCCTGGGCTCAAGTGATCCCACCTTTGTCTCCCAAAAGAATGCTTTTATATGTAATTTGGAACCATGTAATTGTTTCAGAAATTCAAAAAATAAACAGAAAAAAGCAAAATGTACTACAAATTAATAATGTGACTCCTTAAAGATTTTGAGAACTTAAACGCACTGTACTCTGACCAGACATCTTTCGTAGAGAACAAAATAAAGTGGAAAAAACTCATAGACTATGCCCTAACTCGATCCACCAAAAGGGCAGAGACACCCCAGTAACAATGAGCACACTCAGTCAGTATACAACTTGGCTTCTAAATATCATTGCCCAATAACATGAACTAGGAATCACTGGTGAATGTCTGTTTCCAGACCTGATGCAGGAAAAGTACAAGGTGAACTTAGGACATTTTGTGCCCTGGTTTTGAATGATACTGCCACTTGGCTCTGCCATTTAGTTTCTGTGTGACCTTGGGAAAGTCACTTAACATCCCTGTGCTTTAGTTTCCTCATCTATACAATAGGTCTTACAATAACAGCATATACCTCATAGAATTTTTGGGGGAATTATACATAATATATGTGAAATGGTTAGACAAGTGCCATACTAGGCACTAAGCACTTAAAAAAAAAAATCAAAAAGCTTCCTTGCTCTAAACCTCCACTTAACATTTTAATCATTTTAGATATTCGATGTCTTTGCCTCTAGCATTACTCTATTTCTAGAACTTTAAGCACCCACAGAGCAAACCCATGTCAATCCTAGGGATTTCTAACTCAAAATGGTTCCTAATTGATGCTACTGGATGACATTAAACATCAAATAAACCAACATAGAACAGCAGGGAAGATGCGATCGATGCTGAAAAAACCAAAAGTGGAGCTGGATAAGAAATATGCTCATTAGGCCTGGCGCGGTGGCTCAAGCCTGTAATCCCAGCACTTTGGGAGGCCGAGACGGGCGGATCACGAGGTCAGGAGATCGAGGCCATCCTGGCTAACACGGTGAAACCCCGTCCTACTAAAAAATACAAAAAAAAAAACTAGCTGGGCGAGGTGACAGGCGCCTGTAATCCCAGCTACTCGGGAGGGAGAATGGCGTAAACCCGGGAGGCGGAGCTTGCAGTGAGCCGAGATCGCACCACTGCACTCCAGCCCGGGCGACAGAGCAAGACTCCGTCTCAAATAAATAAATAAATAAATAAATAAATAGGCTCATTATAATTACCTCTGGATCTAGTAAAAAAAAAATCTCTAAAATACTCCAAGGTTATACTTTCTATAAATTTCAACCTGATAGAACTAACCTTTTAGGGAAAAGCAAGTATATAAAGCCCACTGGTGCCAGATCAATCCACCAAGTCTGCCTGGCCTGACCAATTTCTGGTCTACAAATAAAAAATTTGAAGAAAAACTTGAAGAAGTATCAAAAGAAGCATTTAAGCCAGTAGAAGTGGCTCACACCTGTAATTCCAGCACTTTGGGAGGCTGAGGCGGGCGGATCATTTGAACTCAACAGTTCGAGACCAACCTGGGCAGCATGATGAAATTCTGTCTCTACAAATACCAAAACAATTAGCCGGGTGTGGCACATGCCTGTAGTCTCACTCAGGTACTCAGGAGGCTGAGATGGGAGGAGACTGCTTGAGCCCAGGAGGTTGAGACCGCAGTGAGCAGAGATCACACCACTGCACTCCAGCCTGGGTAACAGAGCAAGACCCTGTCTCCAAAAAAAAAAAAAAAAAAAGACAGCATTTAGAACCTATCTGGGAGACCTCTAGAGTTGATACTGGAGAAAGTACTGAATACTAACTAATGAAAAATCTCTGGGAATACAAAACAGTCCTGTTCACAATGACATTCAAGGGCTCAACCACCAAGTAATACATGTCAGCTCTAAACCAGGTCTTCAGTTGATTTTATAAAAGGAAATTTGGGTTGAAAAGGGTAGGTAAGGAAAGAATGGAACATTCTGAATACAAAGTAAAGCTGCTGTTGTGCTTTTCATGTAGTAGGTTCCTGTGTCTTATCACTGGGATAAGATAGAATAAAACACAGTTTTGTTCTTATGTTGTGATTTTGAAGGCCAGTTCTAAATTCTTACTTTAAAACATACCATGCCAGGCACGGTGGCTCACGCCTGTAATCCCAGCACTTTGGGAGGCCAAGGCAGGCGGATCACCTGAGGTCAGGAGTTTGAGACCAGTCTGGCCAACATGGCAAAACCCTGTCTCTACTAAAAATACATGGATTAGCTGTGGTGCACACCTGTATTCCCAGCTACTTGGGAGGCTGAAGCAGGAGAAGTGCTTGAACCCGGGAGGCAGAAGTTGCAGTGAGCTGAGATTGAGCCACTGCACTCCAGCCTGGGTGACAGAGCAAGACTCCATCTCAAAAAAAAAAAAAAAAAAAAAAAAAAAAAAAAATCTACACCCTACCCACTCAAATCCTCAGGGAACTGCCAATCTATACGGTATGCTTGTGGCATAATTCTTCATTGAAAGCGTTCCCTGCCTGTTCTGAGTCACTTTCCAGTTTCAGACAATCTCACCCAAAACAAGAACAAATCTCCTAATTTTATGCTTTTAGAATTCTTAATTCACCTTCCCACAGAGAAAATTGTCCTGGTAAATTCTTTTGGAAAAGAACCCACATTCTACAGAGTGACATTTATGATCATTCAAAATCAAACAAATCTAGGCTTCTCTAAAAACGACATTCCTAAAAATCATGAAGAAAAACAGCCATAAAAAACAATATTGGGACAACTTGGCTGCACTGAATATGAACTGTGGATTAGACAAAGTATTTTTTCAATGTTAAATTTCCTAATTTTAATCACTGTGCTGTAAAAATGCCTTTGCTCTTAGAAAATGCAAACTGAAGTATTGAGGGGTAAAGGGGTAATGATGTCCACAACTTACTCTCAAATGAATCAGAACAAAAGTATGTATAAATAAAAAGTGACTATTAAAGCAAATGGAACAAAATATTAACAACAGGCGAATCTGGATAAAGGGTATATAGGAGTTTTCTGTAGTATTCATGGAACTTTTCCACACATCTGAAATCATAAGAAATACAAAGTTTAAAAAAAAATCTAGTCACAAGAATCCATCCTTTCAGTGTAGCCTTACCTGTCTCTCACTTACTCGAAGAGGGCCAAACACGATACACTGGATGAGCTTTGCCACCAACATCAAAACACAGCAAGCAGTATTTACTAGAACCTGTAAACAAATCGGAGAAAGGAAGTTTATTTCTTCCTGCTGAAAAATAAAAGCAGCTCTAAAAATCTCATATTAGGAATTCAGCCATCATTTCCAGTGACTGAGCCTTTCTGGTTCTCTCCCAATGCAAGATAAGTAATATCTGAAAAGGCACACTGTTCTGGGCAGTGGGTGTTAGGGGTAAGGATTGGGAAGAGAGGCACCAGCTTACCAACTAAGTCACAGCTCTTCTTCCAATATGCACCCTCCAGCAGGCCACCTTATCTTTCATCCTTAACTGAATTGTATGTATACTTTGTACTCTTTGTGCAAAACTACATGAACCTTGTAAACTGCAGGTCCTTCCCAAGTACCTCATTTCCAACATTATTTTGATAGCCTTAAAGAAAACTGTTCTAGAAATTGAAGTTACCATGAATAGTAAAATCCAGCAGGCAGAGATTCTACCCTGCCAAACAAATAGGAGGCAGGGGTAGGAGTGTGGATGGTCACAAAAAAAGTCTCATCATGAGAAACTAATAACCAAAAAATATAACAGAGAGAATATTTTAACATTTATTGGAATGGAAAAATCTTTCAACCAAAAGATAAATGTGCTCCATGCTTGGTGTTGGCTTTGAAGTAAAGCTTCTGTGGCACTGCAGTGGGGTGGAATGGGGAAAACAGAAGGAAAAGAAAACTGGTGAGAGGGGCTAAGAGATGAAAGGCAACCTGGGGATACCAATGCAAAACTAAGGCCTTCTTCAACAGTCTATGAGAAAACTTAAAAAACAAAACAAAACAAAATAAAACCCTAAATGATGAATATCCTTACACCTAAACACCAAATCTTAATGCTTACAAAATGGAAGAGTTGGCTGTCTCCAACCCAGAGATTACTGTGGGGTATCACATTACTCTGAATGACTCCAAAAAGCCAAAAGGACCTTGATAAAAACAGTACAGATGACTTGTTGAGAGCAAATGAAAAGGAACTCCAATTCAATGTAAAGCTGCTTCTGCCTCTGATTCACTACATTTACCATATTACCCTTGCCAAGTCATTCTTCCCTCTACTTTTAAAAGCAAATGATAATTTTAAAGAAGAAAGAAAGGGGACAGAAGAGAGTAATTTAAGAAAGCAAGATCCCGAGGCCGGGCGCGGTGGCTCAAGCCTGTAATCCCAGCACTTTGGGAGGCCGAGACGAGAGGATCATGAGGTCAGGAGATCGAGACCATCCTGGCTAACATGGTGAAACCCCGTCCTACTAAAAAATACAAAAAAAAAAAAACTAGGCCGGGCGCGGTGGCTCAAGCCTGTAATCCCAGCACTTTGGGAGGCCGAGATGGGCGGATCACGAGGTCAGGAGATCGAGAGACGATCCCGGCTAACACGGTGAAACCCCGTCTCTACTAAAAAATACAAAAAAATAGCCGGGCGAGGTGGCGGGCGCCTGTAGTCCCAGCTACGCGGGAGGCTGAGGCAGGAGAATGGCGTAAACCCGGGAGGCGGAGCTTGCAGTGAGCTGAGATCCGGCCACTGCACTCCAGCCTGGGTGACAGAGCAAGACTCCGTCTCAAAAAAAAAAAAACAAAAAAACAAAAAAACAAAAAAAAAAAAAACTAGCCAGGTGAGGTGGCGGGCGCCTGTAGTCCCAGCCACTCGGGAGGCTGAGGCAGGAGAATGGCGTAAACCCGGGAGGCGGAGCTTGCAGTGAGCCGAGATTCGGTCACTGCACTCCAGCCTGGGTGACAGAGCAAGACTCCACCTCAAAAAAAAAAAAAAAGAAAGCAAGATCCCTGAGATCACCTCAGGGTCTGTTTAGTACCTCACACCATCCCTCCCTTGGGAGAACAGTTAAGGGCAACCCTGATTCATTACAAATGATTAAATTTAGTTCTATTCTGTCTGCCTAATGGGCCAAAGTATGTAATATATTTTTAATGGATTGAAACAAAAATAGTTCTGCTGAAAAAATAAACTGTTTTAGTACTTAAATCCTTCAAACAACCAGGAACAAAAGCTGAAACTAGTTGCCCCAAATATCCTAATTTGTGTAACAGGCCAATTCAAAATGGTCCAGATCACCAGGAGCGTGGTGGCTCACACTTGTAATCCGGGCACTTTGGGAGACCAAGGTGGGAGGACTGCTTGAGGTCAGAAGTTTGAGACCAGCCTGGAACACACAGCAAAACCTTGCCCCTACTGAAAAATATATAAAATTTTTAAAAAAGAAAAAACAATTCAGGTAACTTGAAATGTTCATTTTTAAGGTGATGAAACAGATGCTAAAGAGACTCACCTTCATTGTGATCTAACCAGTCAATCTCAGCCACATTAACTAAGAGAAATGTTGTAAGACAAAACCACAACCCCTCATGTCACATCCCCTAGACAAACATGCCCCAGCTTTATTACGACGCAATTTCTTAAAAGAATTCTTCCTGTTTTTACATGTAGTCATACGAATTTAAAAAATAAATGCAACACATTTAGCACTTGTTCGAGGCATGTGGGAAATCAGAAAAATGATGGAACTCTGAACCCTAAACTCAAAGAACTTTTAGAATCTACAAGAGATAGAACATGGTAAGCAGTTTAACAGAAGGCCAAGCAGGCTACCATGAGAGTAATGATGGAGAAAAAAAACAAATTTAGGGGCACTTAAACATTTCTCTATTGAAAACAGCACTGTCACACACATCTCAAGTTATCAAACAAAAAAAGTATTATTTACTATTTCTCAAACTCTTTAAATAAAAGTCTATTTTTTTTTCTGACAGTCTCACTCTGTTGCCCAAACTAAAGCACAATGGCGCAATCTCCGCTCACTGCAACCTCCGCCTTCCAGGTTCAAGCTATTCTCCTGTCTCAGTCTCCCAAGTAGCTGGGATTACAGGTGTGAGCTACCACACTAATTTTTGTATTTTTTTGTAGAGACATGGTTTCACCATGCTGCCCGGGCTGGTCTCGAACTCCTGGGCTCAAGTGATCCATCTGCCTCGGCCTCCCAAAGGACTGGGATTACAGGCATGAGCCACTGTACCCAGCCTAAATAAGTCTTTGAATTCAAATAAGGTATAAAAAATGTGTATCTTTAATTTATCAAAAAAAAAAAAAAAGTAAAAGTCTCTTATAATCCCATCACCCATAGACAACCACTTCCTATTTTAATTTAAATGAAGATTTGAAAATTAACATGGCTAAGCAGGAAAAAAAAAAAAGCTTGAGTATACTGATACTAAAAAGGGAATTTATGTAAAAAGGAGAAAAGCTGTTGTGAACTTTGTAACCAAAGCTACAAAGGATTGAAAGCAACTGAAAATTATTTTAAGATTATAAACAAAGTTTTTTAAAACACCTTAATGATTATTAATAACATTACATGTCTATTTATAGAAAAATGCCTTAATTATAATGATTATATGTTAATTACAAATACTGACCAGGCACAGTAGCTTACACCTATAATCCCAGCACTTTGGGAGGCCAAGGTCGGGGGATTGCTTGAACTCAGGAGTTCAAGACCAGCCTGGCCAACATAGTGAAACCTCATCTCTACAAAAGATACAAAAATTAGCCAGGTGGGATGGTGTGCACCTGTAGTCCCAGCTACTGAGGAGGCTGAGGTGGGAGGATCTCTTGAGCCCAGGAGGTCAAGGCTGCAGTGAACTGTGATTGCACCACTGCACTGGGCAACAGTGCAGCCTGGGCAACAGAGTGAGACCTTGCCTCAAATAAATAAATAAATAAATAAATAATATTGTGTTATACATATAACTTCTCAACTTCAGTTAACAAAGGCTTGAAAAACTGTAAATACAACTGAGCACCCCTAATGCAAAAATCCAAAATCTGAAACGCTCCAAAATCCAAAACTTTCTGAGCACCAACATGGTGCCACAAGGGGAAAATTCCACACCTGACCTCATGTAATGAGTCACAGTCAAAATGCAGACTTACAAGAGGTTACTGAGTGTCCCTAAGGGAAAAATGAAACTGCCTTCAGGGTATGTGTATGAGGTGCATATGAAACAGAGGAATTTCACGTTTACATTTGGGTCTCATCCCCAAAATATCTCATTATGTATATGCAAATATTCCAAAATCCAGGAAAGAAATCCCAAATCTAAAACTTCTGGTCCCAAGCATTTTGGATAAAGTATTCTCAACCTATACTGAAAGAAACTTAACTGGAGCATTCCTTATTTAAAAGCAAATCCCATTGGCTCATGTCTATAATCCCAGCACTTTGGAAGGTCAAGGTGGGTGGGTTGCTTGACTTCAGGAGTTCGAGACCAGACTGAACAACATGGTGAAACCCAATCTCTACTAAAAACACAAAAAACGTAGCTGGGCATGCTGGTGTGTGCCTGTAGTCCCAGCTACTTGGGAGGCTAAGATGGGAGAATCACCCTAGACACAGGGAGGTCGAGGCTGCAATAAACCAAAATCACACCACTGTACTCCAGCCTGGGCAATCGGAGTGACATTGATTAAAAAAAAAAAAAAAAACTGCTTAAAAAGTAAACTAAAATAAATAAAATAAATCCCTGGGTCAGGTGCAGTAGAACATGCCTGTAATCCCAGCACTCAGGGAGGCAGATGAGGGAGAATCACGAGGTCAGGAGTTCGAGACCAGCCTGGCCAACATGGTGAAACCCCATCTCTACTAAAAATATAAAAATTAGCCAGGGGTGGTGGTGCTCACCTGTAATCCCAGCTACTCAGGAGGCTGAGGCAGGAGAATCACTTGAACCCGGGAGGCGGAGGTTGCAGTGAGCTGAGATCGTGCCACTGCACACCAGCCTAGGTGAGAGTGAGACTCCATCTCAAAAAAAAAAAAAAAAAGAAAAAGAAATCCGGGGTCAGGCGCGGTGGCTCACGCCTGTAATCCCAGCACTTTAAGAGGCCGAGGCCGGCGGATCACGAGGTCAGGACATCGAGACCATCCTGGTTAACACGGTGAAACCCCATCTCTACTAAAAATACAAAAAATTAGCCGGGCTCAGTGGTGGGC